TCTTAATACCATAATATAAAAATAGAAGAAGTTAATTTAGCTATTGTTTAAACTTTAAAGTTATCGAATTCCACTCAGTGGTATAAAGATTAGGACAGTTCTAGTAATCACAAAGCCATAAAGATAAAAGCTGTTATATCTAACCTTTGCTTTGAGCTATGGGCATTAGTGTTTATACGTAATAATGCCCACTTTGCTTTACGGCCCATTCTGCTTGCACTACAGTCATCAAATGCTTCTAGAGGCTGATGTGGACAAGCTTATTTAGACCAGCACTAGATTTAATGCTATCTAAGCTGCGCTCGTCAATCTCAAGCTGTACGATCATAAAATATATCTATGACAATTTCCTTGTCTATACAAGAATATACTTTTAATTCATCAATTTGATGACGATTGAATTAATGATAGGTATAATAAAAAAATGGTACGTCATCTTTGCATAATCCAAAGCATATCGAATAAAAAACAATAATTTTGATTACTTTGAGTATTTTTCTAATCAATTGAAAGATATTGATTGAAAAAATAATGATATAAATAATATAAATGTATGGAAGAAACGAGATAATTCAATTAAAATTCAATTTATTGTTCCAGTTTACACTAGGTTGAGAACAATGAATAAATTGTTCATAAGAAATAAATTGCTTATGAAGGACGAGATGTGACTATATGTTAAATTAAATACTATATTCTTGTGTCTTCATAGAATATAATAAACTTAATTCATACAAAAATATATAAAATTCATAGTTTATTTTAGTAAAAAAAAAATACTCCAATTTAACATTTACCCTACAACCTAATAATTAATATTCCGACCACGTTGTTCTAAAATGTTTTTTGGTTACTTTACACGAACGTGTATAGACGCGGGAAAAACTAGTTTTGTTTGATGTTAGAATGGCGTTGTATATTACTTTACTACTAAATCAGATATGAATCAACATATAACAGGTAGCATATCATAAATCAAGCGAGAGAAACGAATAAATCAATGTTATTTGCGGCTTATACGATTGTTATAGATACGTTTTAAGTATCCTCCTTTCTTTTTCATATTAAATTATTATCTACATTCTTAATTAAAGTTATTTATTTCTTATTATAAATAGAATTATTTGTATGTGTGATATATAAGGACATTTCAAAGATCTTAGTTTTTTATTTTAAAGGCGCTCTCACTAGGCAAGAGTATAGTTTTTCCTATTTTTACTTAGTCTTTCACCATCCTAGTAAAAACAAAAATCTTTTAATATTAAAAATAGTTACAGATCATTTATTTTAGATAGAAATTATTTATCTTTCTTTAATCCTTTTTTAAAATTAAATCCAAGTGAAACTTATTTTAAGAGCGGAATATTATTTTTGTGATCACGACATGACATCACGACTAGGTAAATATCACGAAATTATGTTCCTCTGTAAACTTAAACATTAATAAAAAGCTTTAAAGCATTGAAAAAATAAGTTGTAATTGTATATATTTATAAATATTTGATATTATTTTATATATATAACTTTATGTATGTAATGTATTCCTAGATTTATAAAAGTTGATATTTCAAAATACATATAATACATATTATAAACTTCTATTAACCTGAAAATATCAAGTGGAGATTAATTATTCACATAAATATTAAATGTCTAATGAACAAATGAAGTTATATTAGACTCTGTATTTATAAATATTTAGTCTTATTAAGTATAAGCAATGTTCTGGCTTTCTGATTGAGCATTTTATACCATAAATGCCTTTTATATATAAATTTCTATTTCAATTGAACGATCTATTTCTACTTGAAAAAAATATTTTATTTAATTACTTCTTTGAATTTGTATATAAAATCATTTATGAATTCCAACAGTGATAATTTAAATCATGTACCTACTGTTTACAACGTATAAAATAATGCCTTTTTATTGTTATTAAAGCATTTCTTATGAGATACTCTATAATTAAATTCTGCCTATAGTATTTTCGTGCATCAAATACATTTGTTAAAACTTAAAAATTATATTGAAATTAAAAGATTTTTTGCCATTCTTACTTCAAATCAAATTCTTATTAAAATGACGGGTAACCGTCAAGCTTGTCTATAATATCACTATGGTCTACGTGATAAACTTTATGGAGTACATAATATGCATTTACATATTAAAAGTAAGAACAAAAGACTGCGTTAGATCATTAGTTGTGTCAAGATTATAGATATAACATTTAATTGTTGATTAATTATGCCATGGATGCAATATTAGAGATGAATTTAAATTAGAACTTTGTTTGCAAATAGTATATCTGATTAGAGTATAAAGATTTGTCATAAATATATTCAATGAATCCAAAAAGAGAACGTATAAATTATTAATAGAAAACAAACTCGGGAAGTCGAAAGTTTTAAGATCAAGTCATGTTCTTGAGCTCTCAACTGAATTTAAAATTGAAAACACAAGTCAAAAAAGTTAAGGGTATAAGGTAAAATCGATGTTTAAGAAAGGTGATGTACTTTTTTTTATATAGATTATGAAAAATATTATTAGTTAGTATATTTTAACAGGGGACTCTAATACGTTAAGTTATTGCCCCTTTTTGTTAGCTCCGAGCCTTCGTTTATCCTAACCAAATAATCTAACTGGTTCTATACCATTGTAACAAGTGATGTGATATTTTGAAACAAAAGCTCAAATGACCTCTGAATTTGCTTGCAATTTAAATATTAAAATGTTATACGAATTTAGGAGCAATTTAATTTAGTTTTTTCAGGTTTAATTGATCAATCGTCGGGTCTATAATGTACTATGTATATACTTTGTGAATAGATAGTATTTTATTGAAAAATCTGTATATAATTCTAATGTAACATTAGATTTATAGTTGAACAACAATGTTGTTGCAGGAAGTTTATAAATTTCCCAACAATATCTTATGCAGGTGCATAAATGCTGCGATGTCCAATATTAAACTTTGACTCCGAGCGAGCCATACAATACGTTAAAAGACCGATACTAAAATATATGTATGAAATTTACCTTCCTATATTTCAAGTACTTAAAAAATAACTAAAAATGCAATATAATATATCAATATAGAAAATTATTCAACTTTCTTAAACAGATTTTTTTTTTACTGTTATTTACAGATTCATTAATATGCAATGATAATTTTTGATAACGTCTATATTTTTCATTACTGTATTAATTTTGTTGTAAATTGCGCCATAAATATTACATAGCTAACCCTAATATGCTTTTTAGAGCAAGATTTAATAAAACCACTGTATTTTTCCTATCCTTATGTAGAAACATATCAGATACTATATCAATCTATTGGGAGATTGTTTGTGGTTGCGGACATTGATTTCTGTAAGATTATATATTACTCAATTCTCTTTAGTTACTTATTAAATTCAATAGCCGCTACATACTTCAATGACATCAATAAATCAATGTTGTATAATATTATAAATTATACTCCTTTAATACATAAAACTTACTAAAAAGTTCATATTGTATATATTTTTATACTCAGTGAGAGTTTTTTTTGTTGACGTCTGCAATCTTTAAAGCGACATTTGTCCGAGACTGTCCAAAAAGAAATAGCGAGCGAACAATATAGATATCTCACATGATTGAGCTTCATAAAACTCATTTCATTCCATTGTTTCTGTTATAACTGATGTGGAATCCAAGCGACTGTTAACAAAACAACATTATTATATTGAAGTTTTAATAGAAATTTTATACGATGTTTTTTTGTACAGAAATTCCAATGGATTTTAAGCAGGAGATAAATGACAAAGCTTTGTCATTGACTGATTGCTGATCATAATTACGATGTTGACATTATTGTGAAGGCTTCAATGATTACTATAATTTGTAATTATTTTAAGATAAAATAACCTGAATGTCTTTCCATATGTGTCACTCAACAAGTTGATATACAGCCTTCACGGTCACAGTTCAACGCACTGTTTGCGATTGAACTTGACTCGACGTCTTAATAGTTGTTGGGAGTTTACTTTCATTCAGGATGAACAATGATATATTTTTTATTTTATACTTCCCGCTTATATTTTAAATGGCATGTAGCTTATAGACCAATAATATATATGTCAGAATGAATATTTTAGGTAATATAGATGTAATGATGGAAAAAAGATTGCAAAAGTTTATAATTTTGAAATTCTTTTGTTTTGGAGAATCACCGTAAATAAAATTTCAGCATTTTTATTTCAATTAAAACTATACAAGTCTTGAGCTCATATTTCGTAATTTTTTTTGACTTCTACATATAAATCTGAACTTTAATAGAAAATTCAAATTATATTTTAATATTAAGATATATCCTTAACTATGTAACCAAAAAATATAACAATTCTTTATACTTTATGCTTCGAATTAAGTTATTACTGATTTAAAAAATCTTTTAATTAATAAAATCATTATAAGACAGAGAATAATTTCAAATTAACTATTAATAAGCATAAAATTAACAAGATATTTCACGGACACATTATTTCTGGAACATGACTAATTGCATAATATTGTAATTAATATAATGCGATTATATTGTTATAAGAGGAAAACCGTTTACTTGGAATCTGTAGTTTTCATAGAAAATGGACAATCCATTAATAACTTGACGTTCTGAAAATGTATCATCGCTTATTCTAAAGAGTGACTATCTCATTTAATCCCATGTGTACAAGACTTATTTTTTTTTTAATTTAGTCTTAATAATATGTCTATAATAAGTGTTTACTTCAATAATTCCCTATAAGACCGTGAACCCGACGCGTGCGCATTGTTTATCTTCACCCAGATGATCCGAGGTCGGTATATAAGCGGGGGATATGATCACCCGGCACCATTCGCGATTTAACCACCGCCGAGTGTTTCCGTACGACGAGGACGCATTGACCGTCAACCGAATTGATACAATTGTCACTTAATTCCCTTCCGAGATGTCTTCGATTCGCGTCTTACTTTTCATCATGCTAGTAGCTCTGGTTGCAGTTGAAGCTGCACCATTCTTCGACGCTATATACGATGCTATCAATGGCAATGGCAGACGATCATACGGTTACAGTGGCTACGGGAACTATGGATACAATTATGGCTACAACAACGGTTACAACAATGGTTATAGTGGCTACAAACACGTGGAGCGGCCACCGAGGCAAGGAAAGACATTCAAGGAAATCTGTAGAGTACATTATCCGGATGCCGCTGCTTTCCCGGGAGCTGGAGGGATAGTTTGTCCCTACTGAGGGTCAGACCGCGTGTTCTACGCCATGGAGCGACTGCTTCGACGTCGCAACATCATGAGAATGGGCTGATCTATACATAGTATATAAAAGATGAAGTAACGAAATGAATATCCGCCTCTTTTGCCCATTCCATCGAATCTATTACGAATTCTCAATATAATATATATATTGAGAATTTGTATTAAATACGTTGTATTTTCACGCTTAAGTATTGTGATGAAAGTTTTCGATGTGATATGTGTGTGATGATTTTGTGATAGTGTTTCAATATTTTAGTGTAATATACTTTAAGATGTACGCCAAACTTTAAACGAACACTGCCTAGAACACGCGATACTAGACCTAAATCTTATAGTTACGAACAATGAAATTAATTTTAATTGGATTTCGTACTTAAAAAGATTTGATATTATCAAACAAAATTTGTAATTTCCGTTGTCTATCTGTTTGTTTTGTTGCAATATATTCTCGTTTTTTATTTGTAAAAACTATTCATGAAGTCACTCGGCAATCTTCAGTCAGTCAGCCAGTAGAGTTGATAGGTTATCATGATTTGAAGCTGTAATCGTCATAAATGTAAGAGTGTAAATATAAATAATTAAGTGCTCAGTAAATGATATGGTTGTTAACTATTTGTGTTTAATTTCTAACATTAATACATAGTTTGATTTAGTTCAAAACCTTTTTAATATAATATATATCGGATGTTATTCTACACAAATAAAAGAAATTATTCAGGTGACTCAATTTGATGCGTTGTGATCAATTGAGTCGATACGTCTGGGGCGTTGTTTGCTCATTTTTTAAGTACAAATGCGTCTGCGCATGTTGTGCGAATTAAAGACGTTACATTTAAACATTACACTTTATATTTTATTTTTTAAAACACACTATATATATGTAAGTATAATAAATATGAGGTAACTTATTATTTGATTAAAACATAAGATATAATAACTTTATTTTAGCGTACGTTTAGTGAAATGGTGAAGCTTTCACATGTTATGCATCGCTGCTAATGAATTACGAGTTACAGAAACTATGTATTATGGAATGTTAGCGTAAACAACACGCATGTTATGATAAAAAAGCATCTGTTTTTGTGAATCGCAGTCATTTCTAATAGGCAAATTTTTATTTTGTAAAATTTGATGTTAACTTTTAGGTATATTGTATTCCAACTTTCAAGCAATTGATTTAGGAGTTCTTTCATCATTGTTTTAGAAATTAGGCCTAGATAATATTGAACTAGATATAAAATTAAGGAAGTTTGTCTGTACATTTTCTAATTATTATGTAATGATATCTTAGATTGTTATTATATTTAAAGTTTGTATAAAGATATGAATATAATGTTAAAGTGTGTATTTGCCACAATACAAACGATTACGCACTGACAATTTTTTTAATTAGTAATTCCTTAATAAAATCATTCCTTAATAAATTGGTTTGACTTTTATCTTGAATATAATTCAACCTAATAAGCAAGCTACCGAGACATACAATTGTACTTACTGACCTCAGGTACAAATATTTTTTCATATCAATGCATTTTTGTCATGTTGTTTTAAATTTTTACATACATACTTCATTTCGTATGATTTTTTTCAGAATAACGTTTTTATTGCCTCGTGTTCGCGGTTTTGCTTTCTAACTACTCATTATGCAGTGGTGTTCATTTTAAGAAATGCTATATCTTTTTTAACATGCCTGTACCTGCGGTTTTACTTTCACAATTTTTTATACCATATATGTATTATTTTATAACATTTCTAACATCTTATCTGTTGCTTTCTGATTGCTTTATTATAATTATAAAATAATAAAAATATATTGAAAAAAATATAGATACTAAAAATTATTAAAGTAACGAAAGAAAATAACGAGAAGTAACTAACAAAGGCAAGCCATCCAGGCCCTGAGGTTGGTGAATCTCACATAAACACATTTGACTTAAAAAAATTCTTAAAAAAACATTTCATAATATACATAGGGATTTAATGCTTGGATATTAATCGCCAATTACTTTTTATTTCATATCAAGCTGTCCAAAAATGTAACTTTATTTGTTTTATTGGTAATAATGTTTGTTATATTAGAAATGCAAAATACTACAAATATTGTATACCAAGTTAACTTTTTCACATTTCTATGTTAACTTTACGATTTCATGTTCATGTGTTAAAAAGATAACTTAAAATGTATGAAGTGGTAGGAATTGTTATATAATAAATATTTTCTTAAAATATTTCATTTTACATACGTAATATCTAAATTGTTTAAATGAAAAATGAGATATAATAAAAACAATATAACTCTGGTTCATTTATGTGTGCATTAAGATTTAAATATCCTTATTGAATAAAATATGCTATCCTATATATTTAATAATATTTTCACAATATAAAAATGTTATGAGAATACAAAAATAAATAATTCTTCACTATCACTTAATGAATCAGCACGCACGTTGAATTTTTAAATATACATTTATGTAATACTTAGTTTTTTCATAAGAATTATCTTTAGATTTGATGTCATGTGCGACTTGATTAACGAATAATATTGTCAAATTTCGGACAGGTATATAATATGGAACTTCATTAAGTTCAGATATTATATTGCGAATGGAATACAAAGTGTTGTATTATATAATTTAATACATAACCTTGGACACACAGATGTATTGTTTTTTATTCTTATTAATATTGATATAATGTCCATATATGCTTCCTGAATTTTTAATCGCGTTAAAAAAACCTCCTCCCTTTCGTTAGTCATCAAATGTTAAGTACCGTCACTGGGGATTGTAACGTGTGTAGCAAAACTAAGTCAACTATTTAATTATATGTTAAATTATTATCATATGGTTAATGGATTCAAATATCATGAATAATTTAGTTGTTTTCTGATTTATATAATAATACAAGAGTTAAAGAAAATTTAAATTTAATTAATAAAGTAGAAAACGAATAACGTATAGAGTACGAATAAAGTAAAGATTATAGGAAAAGGAAAAAGTTTGTGACTTATATATAGCCCTTATAGCCCTTACTCTTCTGAGTATACAAACTAGAGATTGGTCTCTAGGGATTAGCCTTCCTAAATCATTTTAGACGAGACGAAAAACGAAACTTCTCAGCAGTGGCGGCTGGTGGGTTATCGAACTGGTGGTGCACTTTAGTCTTTACTAAAATATTAAAAATAGAAAATGCAACCACACAACAATTGACAATAAATATGTTTATTTTTCTGAAGCAAAATGTTCAATCACCTTTTTATTAAAATCGGATATTGTTTGTATAATTATAATTTAAAAAAATATTTTTTTCAATACTACGCACAGAAAGTGCATTTAGGAAGTGCATGGTATTTCGGAGAAAAGTTTTGATTCTTTTCAATTTCAATTCGTCATACATCGGGTGCTCTCGGTAATCTTCGGCCGCTTCGTGCGGCGCTCGAGAACCGACTCATACTCGGTACATTTCTATGAACTATCTTTTGTCTCACGCGTCAGGCGTATTAATGCGTATCTCATACAAGATGTATTAGCAGTCCTCGTGCACTCGCCGAAGCGCACGATATGAGTTTAGTAAAGCGCTCAAACTTTTTGACCATAATTGGAAATTTAACGATTTTGTATGTTTAAAATATAAATATTAAAATGTTAATTTAAAAATAAAGATGAAATAATATTTTGTAATTTTTAAATCTTTTGAATTGGTGGTTCAGCGCACGAGTGCACTTAAGGTACAGCCGCCACTGCTTCTCAGCATTCCATGGATTCACTGTGCGGGTGCCGGGTCCATCGCGTTGCAGGGAGAGGAGCTTCAACAGTGCGTGGGACTTGCGACCCAAGTGTAGGTTTAAGGGGCCCCTTAACTAACGCGCGTTATGCGCTCATCTCCACTGTCCAAGCTCCTCTCCCTACCTAACCAAATTTGAAAAGAGCCTACTAGGGCTGCTTTCGATGTACGTTCCAAGAATGCATTAATGTGAGTTCTGGACAAACCCAAGTCTTTTAGTAGGTTGTAAAGAGATTTCGCTGTTATACCTCTCGCTCCCACTTCTACCGCGTACAAATCTACTACGAACCTATTTCGAGTGAGTTCGTTTGTGAGCTCGTAATATTTTTTGACCTTAATGGTATGGTCTTTGGGGATGTTGGTTTCCCAAGGAACCGTAAGCTCTATCATCACTACGCTCTTTTAAAGTACGCGAAAACAAAAATATATCCGGTCTGGAGGCCGACGCACAAATAAATAATGTAAAAGAATTGAAATCTAATCTTTAGTGACAACCCTAAACACTTTATTTTAACTCAAAATCCGCTAGCGGCATATAACATTGATAAGAATATATTTGGAAATCAGACAGTCGATGGAATTGATATACATACATATATAGGTACATAGAGTCATTTTGTGGTGCTGTGGCAAGTTAATTGTATTATCTAATAAGTAGATCAACTTCTTTAATGAAGTTAATAACGAATGAATATTTTAAATAAAATTGCATTTGTTTTTCAAGTTTATTGTATGAATGTGATATTCAATTGAAAATGTCTTATGAAGTACTTTTATAGTCCATTTACAGGAGAGGTACGATGCCGATAGTCCGTCGTGTGAACAAGCCTTAACATATCTGTAATTTTTAATTATGCCCGGAGATAAACCTTTATAATGAAAGATTGCTGAATATATTAATTTCTTCTTAGTATCTTAAATTTTATATTGAATTTTTAAATTATAATTCACTGCTGTGGTGCTTTATTTTAAAACATTTTTAAGAATCTTTTCTAGAATTTTTTACTAAGGTAACGAATTATATTGTCAAAAATTTAAAAATATATTGTTTTTGTGAAACTATTCATGTACTAATATAAATATTTACTGAGGTTTGTATTGTAGCTCACTTTATTTTAATCTAATAAATAACTATATGTTTTGCAATCGTAGATTGTTGTTGGACATTCTAAAGTCGATGATAAAATTGTAACC